GGTCCATGACCATGGCAAGGTCAAATTTCGTGCCAGCGCCTTCTGTTTGCTTCGCTCTGGATTCAGTCTTCTGATCGCGATGGCTTCTGCAGTGTTCAGTAAATGCTTTCTAAGTCAAGAACGAAAGACCGAGGGTGAACAATTGTTTTCGATGATTCATCTTCAGACCTGTACAATCATATGGTTGAAATCGCAATAGGAAAGTACAAGGGGATTAACGATCAGTTCAAATGAGATAGATCACGTGTCGATCAAAGGCATGAACCAGTAACAAACAGCAAACTAGGTCTGAGGTACCGTTGCACAATTGCAGTTGCTGTCCGAAGGATCCGTTTTGGCTGGCCAAGGTAGCTGAACAGCTTCGATCAGCTTCTTTTGTGCACACAAAAGAGGTTGGTACAACCGAATGCTGATCGCCTCGGCAGTAGCAAGGGTCCGGAGGCGCAGGCCTTTCGACTGGAGTGGAGGGACCCTGTACAGTATTCGAAAGGCACTGACTGGGTCAACCTCATGCCCACTATCAACCAGATGAGCCATAACTGAGCTAGTTATAGCTCCAGTACCACCTCGACGCAACCAACGTGGTAGGTGCTCCTTAATGCGTTTCGAAAGTTGCCGCGCCGTTCGACCGATGTAAGTAGCGCCACAAGCGCACTTGAACTGATAAATTACCATAGAAGCGGTCAGCGTCGATCAGTTGCCGTTTCTTGATGTGCTGTTAACTAGAAGGGCAGACGGCTCGATCCAACGGCAAGTCTACAGGAAGAAAACCTGGAGTGGCCAGTATACGAACTTTCACAGTTTCGTTCCGTTGAGATATAAGCGAAACCTAATTCGCTGTCTAACCACAAGGGCCCACAGGATCTGTTCTGAAGACAAGTTGGATAATGAGTTGACGCTCATTCAGAATTTGCTGCGCGAAAACGGATATCCTGATCGTTTCATTTTGAGGAACATGCAAAGTAAGCCCGACCAGTTACAGGTTCAGACAGCAGAGAAAAAAGAACTTTTCATACGACTACCCTTCAAGGGAGACGCCGCTGCTGAGCGTGTAACTAGAAGCCTTTCAACAGCTGTCAAGTCAACTTTTCCAGCAGCCAAACTTAGGTGTACCTTTTCCACGGAGCCACTCATCCGTATTTACAACAAAGACAAGTTACCGACGCTGACCGCTTCTATGGTAATTTATCAGTTCAAGTGCGCTTGTGGCGCTACTTACATCGGTCGAACGGCGCGGCAACTTTCGAAACGCATTAAGGAGCACCTACCACGTTGGTTGCGTCGAGGTGGTACTGGAGCTATAACTAGCTCAGTTATGGCTCATCTGGTTGATAGTGGGCATGAGGTTGACCCAGTCAGTGCCTTTCGAATACTGTACAGGGTCCCTCCACTCCAGTCGAAAGGCCTGCGCCTCCGGACCCTTGCTACTGCCGAGGCGATCAGCATTCGGTTGTACCAACCTCTTTTGTGTGCACAAAAGAAGCTGATCGAAGCTGTTCAGCTACCTTGGCCAGCCAAAACGGATCCTTCGGACAGCAACTGCAATTGTGCAACGGTACCTCAGACCTAGTTTGCTGTTTGTTACTGGTTCATGCCTTTGATCGACACGTGATCTATCTCATTTGAACTGATCGTTAATCCCCTTGTACTTTCCTATTGCGATTTCAACCATATGATTGTACAGGTCTGAAGATGAATCATCGAAAACAATTGTTCACCCTCGGTCTTTCGTTCTTGATAATAAAATGGGAATTTTCCGCTTTCTAAGTCCCTTAGAAACCCGCTTAGACACAATATAAAGCGTCTTGAAAGAGTCCTTGTTTTGAATACGGTGTCAAAGTGAACCCAGGTCTCAATAGAGGTTGCGAGTTGCAGCCTAACTACACAGCGGATTCTCCGCTGTGCCAAGTTTTGCTCGCGGATCTCAGTGGCATAGTGTTTGGGGCGTCAGCCGTGAACTACTAGGCTCTGAGTGTGGTGTGCCAGTGTTCGGAGGAGGAACACCGAATTATTTCCACGGTGTCCGCTGCTCACAATGTGTTCCAAAATCGAGCTTTATCTCTGTCTTGATAGTACCATGCTGTAGAGAGACAGGGCAATAATCCGCTATTCGTCTCGACAGGCGTCTGGTCGTGTGTCCGACGTACTGTGCATCATAGGTGTAGATGAACTGATATAGGACCTAGGATTCGGAAAAGACTGGAATATTGTCCTTGAGGCGTTTGGTTTCCAGCGCATCCGGAACGATACGTGCACAATCTTTCTAGCTTGCAACTGAACAGACTGAAATCTGAAGCCTACTCGCTAGTGTCAAAATTTTGTTCATCGCAGCCAGTAAGGTGAAGCTTACATAACATAGAGGTACAATTCGAGAATTTGATGCATCAGCTGATTCGGCTAACATCTGCATCCTCCGTCAACAGTGACACATTCTGGACGACTCTAGTGCACCTTCCCTAACAATATCTGAGCAACAAGCCGCAATTCTCAAAGATAGTCATTCGCCAGCACCGAGAAACAGTAAAAGAATTAACATCAAATCCTGAGATTATAATCTCCAGACCGGACAAAGGATCGAGTTAGATGATCATGGATAAGTCGGACTACATTGCAAAGATGCATGTTATTTTAGTTGACTCCAGTAAATTCATGATTGACGCCATACAAAAGGACAGCACCATGCCGGATGAGAGTAAGATCACCAAGTGGTTGAAAGAATTGCAGCGTTGCAAGCACATCGATGGCATTTTGCTTGATCCGCTGACGACATGCGGCTCTCAACCACCTTGTTTCAATAAACTTCAAAGAGTATACAAAGCAAACATCCCACTACCCCCTATAATGGACATGTCTGGTTCAGCAGTACATTAGTCGCCAAGTGGTTAGTTGAGCTACTTGATCCAACACGCAAAAAAATATCAAGTCACACAGTGAGTGATACCTTCGAATTCATTAGGCGGATAGGAGGCCGAAACGAAAGACAAATTGATACTGTCCTTTGATGTGGTATAACTTTACAAAGGTTCCGCTAATAGAAACCGTCAACATTTTCTGCAAGTAACTAGCAGAAATCAACATCACCATCGACATTCACGTAGAAAGCGACAAAGAACTGCTCTTATGCTGCATATTCAATAGACAGTTCTTGTTTAGTGAGAAATATTGCCGAAAAATAGATGGTGTTCCGGTGGGGTCGTCTTTGAGACCGCAAGTTGCCGACTCTTCTCGCAAAGATTGAAAAGAGACCTATTCAGCACTTAATCGGAGCACATGACTGCTATCAACAGTACAGGGATGATACATTAGATAAATAGTTTTATTCTCGACTGTTTGTGATCCACATACTGATTATGTTCACCTATTGAGGTAGGTTAACAGTACCCAACTATCGTTCAAATGTACTTGTGGGACGGAGGAAAACAATAAGGTACCTTTTCTTGACATCTTGCTGCGACAAAGAGGCTATGGTTCGTTGGAACGAAGCGTGTACCGGAAGCCTACCTGGGTAGGACAGTATGCGCGCTTCCTCAGTTTCGTGCCGTTTAGGTATAAGCGAAACAGTGCGTTGCCTGTTCTATCGTGCCGCAAACATCTGCAGCCCATAGACAACTGAAACCGAAAACGAATGCATTGTCAGCACGCTGGTAAATAATGGGGAGCCTGCCGCATTCATCAAGAAACATACCATAATTCGAGCTCGGCCTAAATTGGCAGCGACTGTGTGGAATAAGGAGGTTTTCATTCCAGTTCCTTTCAGAAGTGATATCCCCTTTGACCTGATGAATAGGAAATTGTCCACCATAGTGACCCAGACGTAAGCAGCCGCTAGAGTTCATGTCCTTAGCCAGAGTGCTCAGCTCATAACCCAAGGCGCTTAGGACAAAATTCGGATCTTGTCCCAATCGTAGGTCATATACCAGTACACCTGCACCTGGGATGCACAGTACGTCGGACACACGACCAGACGCCTGTCGAGACGAATAGCGGATTACTGCCCTGTCTCTCTACAGCATGGTACTATCAAGACAGAGATAAAGCTCGATTTTGGAACACATTGTGAGTAGCCGACACCGTGGAAATAACTCGGTGTTCCTCCTCCCAACACTGGCACACCACACTCAGAGCCTAGTAGTTCACGGCTGACGCCCCTAACACTATGCCACCGAAATCCGCGAGCAAAGCTTGGCACAGTGGAAAGGGATTTAAACTTGTATTTGGAGAACCCGCTGTGTAGTTAGGCTGCAACTCGCAACCTCTATTGAGACCTCGGTTCACTTTGACACCGTATTCAAAACAAGGACTCTTTCAAGATGCTTTATATTGTGTCTAAACGGGTTTCTAAGGGACTTAGAAAGCATTTACCGAACACTGCAGAAGCCATCGCGATCAGAAGACTGAACCCATAGCGATGCAAACAGAAGGTGTTGGTGCGAAATTTGACCTTGCCACGGTCATGGACCAATCAGCTGACTTTAGGCTAACTGATCTATTGAATAAGACACCCCACAGACACGACCCGGCTTAATTGTGCTAAGCTAGAGATAGCTTATGATTCCAATGTCAACCGGATTCATAATTGCACATGCCTGAAGAGATTTATCGAAAAGAGATTTCTTCACACTTAGTCTTTGATTCATTCGCCTTAAGAAGCAGTAATAATGAAATGAGCAGGCCCAAAGAGGTCGTGTAGAGTTGATGCAGTCTTGAAATCGGCACCCGGTGACGGGTAAGACACGCAGTGATCAAATAATCTATGTATGTAAAAAGAGAAAGGAAAGACTGTAAAAGTTGTCTGCGTCAGTATAGCCAGAATCTAGTGTCTGCACATTTTGACAAGTACTGAAATATATCAAAATGTTAGGAAGGATTGCTGCAGTGCAATTAATGAACGTGAGGCTAACGATCGCAGCACTGGGATACACCTCGTGTGATGCCTGTATGTTGCATATTATTGTGACTCCATGTTTCACTAAAAATATAAATATGATGCTTTAACCCACCTGGCATTCGGTAAGTGGCTGACTACCGTGGAACAATCCGACACGGACTATGTAACGGCCACGAGCAACGTCCACTGGAGCTGAAGCGACAGATCCTGAAGCAGCTTGGTGTGAAGGCGATGACCCTCGCATCGATGACTGCATGGATATCGAGTCTCCAGAAAGACATTTGCCCGAATGTACCTGGATGCTCAGGTAACCGGGGACAGTCCATAAGGACAGAGCTGAAGATTTCAATGGAGACAGTTCGTCCAGTTCCCAGTTATCCTTGTGTGTAATATCCTGATTATCTTCAACACATCGAGCAAGGCTTTCCAAAGTCTGAAAAATCGATGAGGAGTTAGGTTTGGAAATACGTGAAGACATTTCCGAAACAGGGGCAGTAGCCCTATTGAAAGCGATCAGCTGTCGTGAAGTCCGTGGACTGGGAATTGGTGACCGAGGGCTAGTGCACGGTGCGCTCGGACTATGGTCTGAAGATAGACGGCCAGTGAATGTGCCGTCGAACGATTGAATGAGATTGTCGCACACGTCCTTGAGTAACATAGGACTCAAGCAAGGTACCTCGTTCCGTTCAATGCAGTGTTGTACATACTCAAATGAGACCAACTTGGCATCCCCACCAAACAGGTACTTATGAGAGCAACACACCTTGAGAACGTAAGCAGAAGTTTGTGGTTGCGTTCGAAGCCGACCATGTAGAACAGGCGTGGAGCTGTTTTGAACCAAATCCATTTGCATGCGCAGTAGTTTTGTCAATGCCTCATCGACAGTGGCCGAAGTTCCCAGTTCTACATGGATGCGTCTCTCCTTTGCAGGGGTTCCACCGTCCAGAACCCATGCGGAGACCATAAGATGAGAGCGTTGTTTCAAAGTGGAGCGTAGTGACATGGAAAGATCGCGTTGTGCTGCCGCCGTGAGGTATCTCGCTAGAGCCTCAGAGCCGCCAGCATGTAATGCGTCACGGTGGGTGTTCGCCAAATGACACAATCGCGAGCGTGCCCACTTGACTTCGGAGACCAAACGACCTGTTTGCTCAAGATCGATTGGTGAAATCCCAATGCAGCTTTAAAGAGAATGAAAAACGGTCAGGAGTACAGGTAAAAGACGAGTAAAGATAAAGCAGATAAGTGAAGAGCTATTCACAAACATCATGAGATAGCTATGCAGCCGGAGATAGTTCGATAAAGCCAATATTAAAGTAGTCAGGGGGATTGAAGTCTGAGAACCGATACGATTTGCGTATTCAAGTTCAAGTTGTAAAGGAAAATTGATTAAAAGAGACCAGCGAGCAGAACCCGCCCACCTATGGGCCTGACCATGTGAATCTAAAAGTTGATCACAAGTAGCAGCCATGAGCCATAAAAGAAGGCGCGAAATAAGAAAATCGAAAAGGCACACTCGGTGAGGTAGTGTCGCTAGATGGAATTGAAAACATTACCCACTCGTGCATGCGTATGGCAAACTGGGTACCAAAAGCTAAAACGCCGAAGTTGTAGTGTACAACCAGTGTGGATAAACCAGACTCTGAGGTTATTTTTTCTAATTCATCTACCACTTTCAGTGTGGCTGTGATAAAAAATGAGTTGTTAGTCAAACGGATTTCACAGAACAGATGACAAATAGAGATGTTAGCTAAAATCGGTCCACAACAGCGCTAACCATCGATAATCCATCGATGTGACGATAGATAGTTCCAACAAAGTAAAATTAGACATCTTTCGTACAAATGAGGAATAAGGTTTTTAATCGGTGTGTTGGCATTTGCACTTATGATGTTTAAGGTGTCCTCCAAAGGGACATTGGCGAAAAGGGAACAGACATCATCCAGAGGATGGCAAAGTATACCATGCCACTGAAGCGATATACTTTTACTCAAGGTACACTGACGGCACTTTTGTAGTAGTGGATACGGTACAGGAAGGGAAAATCCTCCTGGAAATGTAAGATAGTTGCCATCCCGAAATCAAGTCCACTATGAAAAGTGAGTCAGAGGATTCGTTTCACTTTCTTGACGTTGTGTTGAAGAAGAGAACATGTGGTTCGCGCATAAGATCAATTTACCGTAACCCGAACTGGGATGGACAGTACTTACATTTTAACAGTTACTGTCCTTTAAACTACAAGCGATCCCTAGTTCGGACTTGTTTCACACGAGCTCACCGAATATGCTCGGAAAAGTCAATCCAGACAAAATTAAAATGCATCGCGTCTACTCTACGTACTAATGGCCATCCCACCAAACTTATCGCAAAATATGGAGAAAGGATTGCCAGAAGTGAAAAACTTCTTTACGTAACCACACAAAAATACAGATCGACGGAAGATTCTGCTATCGATTCCGTCATATCATAAAGAGGTGCTACTACGCAGGTGAGCTCGTGCTGTTACCTCAAACCAAGAAACTGCTTCATGAATCCAACTTGGATAAGCCTAACGCTCAGGTTGCCGTCTCATGTGTTTAATAACGTACATTGGCCGAACCGAGGGAAGACTATCAAAGAGGATCATGGAACATGTTCCACAGAACTCATCAACGAGTGACCCTGAGCTCGATCGCCCAGCAAATACTTGATTGCATCTTGGGCGAAAACCCTAATAACGTAATCAAATTTATCAAGAGGTAAATATTCCTAGCTTACTTCGATTTACGGAGGCTTTCGCCATCCGGTAAATAAAACCGAACCCCTGCAAACAACTCGGCTTTGTGGCCAGCATCGCCTTTCACCGGTAAGACGTGTTTCTTATCATTACAGTCGATGATCTTGAATCTTTCGGTGTTCTATTGATACCTTGTCATTTGCATTCTTTAAATTCCTCCACGGTTTGTCTGTACGCGGCTGATTGGGGAGACACGAAAATCTGAATTCAGTTATTCCGCTTTAATGTTGTTCATTCTTGTTATTACGTTTTTTAAAAGAAATGGCTGCATGAATTTCCTCACTAACTCTAACATTAGGTGTTCAACTGACTAACCAAATAATTAAGTAATTGGACAATTAGTTAACGGGTTATGTAATCAATCAAGTTGTCAATCTAAGAAAGAAAAAGTGTTGTAGCATTTCACACACAAAAGCAACCTGTATGAGAGGAAGAAGTAGAAGAAGACCTTATCAGTACGCCGGTACACACCATACCGACGCCTCGCCGCCACGTGATCACTCCCGGTCGCGCGTTTGGGTAGTGTATATTGCGAGTTCGCAAGTATATACGCTGATTCGAATTGGCGCTCTCCGGATTACCAGACAAGCGTGGAACCCTTTCGGGCCCCGACCGAAACTGTGGGCGCTCCCGTGTAAGATCATTCATTCATTCCCTATGCACGTTAGACGGAATGATACATACCTCAGACATGGTGGCCAATACAAATAGATTTGATAGATTAAAAACGAGATATCAAATGTCAGAGAATACAGAATAAAAACAAACAGTACAGTTCATACTATGCACCGAGAATAAGATCGTGGTTGGAGGAGGAGGCTGATAGAGAGGGGCAAGAACACTTATGAGCGCCATTGAGGTCTGCTCCTGGCGATATTGGAGAGTGGTAACAGTTTTTCATAAGCCCTGGCTGCCGAACTATGCACCTAAGTGGATTCATAATATTTACACATTTCTTGAGCAGGAAACCGTCCTGTGCAGCTGTTCAGATAAGAGGGAAAATATATTTTCGTGTTCTAAAAAAGCGAAGCTGTTAATTTTTGATTCAAGGGTTAAAGTGGAGTATAGAAAGTGTTGCGGAGTACAGAACGTTTCGCTAACATGCATGACGAAGATCCTACAAATAGCTGAGGGAAACGGTAATCCATGTTAGTAGGAAGTCAGTCCCTCCACTTACCCAGGCGAAGTAGGTAGTTCCAACGAATGATCTCATGACGACCAGCCAAATTCTATGGTTACCCGATGGACCGGCACCTTAAGGCAGCACCTATAGAGGCGGTTTAAAATGCAGTTGTACTTGGTAATTGTCCTCTTCATCAGCCATCTTGTGGTGAAGCTATGGAACCCATGGTACAGTGGTTTGCAAGTTTTTCGAGCACTAAGATAGACACACCCAAGGTAAATCGAGTCAGTGCGTCCAAACAATAGTTCTGATCACCTAAACAACCGCACATGAGTCTTTTGACGGTGCTGCGCCAGATTAGCCGGAGCGAAGACTACGGCGTAGTAGATGCGCTTCAGTTCGGACTACTGCATAAGGGACCCGAGGACGGGTTAAAGGTTACGGTGTCATGGCGAAGACAACAACAACGACAAAAACAAATGTATGGAATCACATGACTTCGTAAACCGTTTCGGAGAAGACCTGGATTCACAGTAGACAATGGATTAATTGGCGCAGGTTGATCAGAAAATAAACGGGGAGCAAGAATGGGCGTAGGTCTGCTCTCACTGGATCTATTTGACGCGTGAACAATGAAACTAACACCCATACGCAGGTTGCTACGAGTTCAATAGTCGATCCGTGACTCACCTGGCGATGGTGGCATCTTGCGTGCTCTTCTCAAATAGCGTGCTGTCTTTAGTCGCCTCAACCACCCGAATGTAGGGGAGCAGAAGCGGCAGCTCGCGTAATCGAATACTTTGATCATAAAAGTATTCCTCATCAGCGGTTTCTCGGTGAATACCGGTGAAAACGTATTGCTCTTTAGGCAAAAGAACATCGAATAATGGTTCGCGAGCGGCTGCCAACCACACCTCATCTTTGGCGGCTGAGAGGGACAGATCAGAATCCAGCTGAAAACATAAACGGTGAGCGAAACACATTCAAGAGTTGAAAGCGAGATCAGGCTGTCAAATGAATGCGGAATAAGCAATGTGACCATTGCACAAGACATGTGAGGCAGGTGTCATGAGACGACCCTCTGGGGTGGAGGAGTCACAGGGTGCCAGGCAAAACACACAAATGAAACCGAAACCATCACAGTACGGAGATGGTGTCGAAAATGGATCGTAAGGTAGGAGTGGTACTTACTGAGGACTATTCAGGAGGCATTCTAATAGGCTGATGTTGCATTCTTAATGCTTCTTCACCGCAGTTGGGCTAAACCAACTTACACTTAAACTAGGTCTTTTTAATCTGGATAAATTTCATTCCACTTTATTTGGCTTGTTCTGCCTACCTGAATAATCTTCTATTAACTGGCCACGTTGCTTACGCTAATTGCGCTTATCTTCGGTAATTTTGTTGCGTTTTTAGCATTTCTAAGTAACTTGTGGACATTTCTTACTTGTCGCGGATTCGTTGCTAACCAACTTACTTCATATGGTAATTTAGGGAACAGTTATGCCACCGTATCTGTATGCATTATTGGATTTATTTTATTTCGGCTTGTCGTTTAAAGTGAATGGCTGTTGCTTGAGATCCCCGGTGTGGCTGCGCTTGATGTGCATGTTGACAAGGTGCCTACCTGTCTATTACCCACTACCTCGTCCATACTGGCTCCAGGAGACAGTCGGTCGTTGCTGGAGGGGACGGGGTGCACGGTCCTTGTGGCCGTGCTATGCTCAAAGAGCACTTTTATGCACTCAGTGTAGAGCGGACTACGGTCCAGCCACCGCCTTGTGTGCGCTTGATTCCCCAAATACAGCGTGCTTGTGTTTGTCTGTGAAGGAGTGTGGGCCGGCTCCGTTGATGAAACGTGGTTCCCATCCGCATGCCTCCCGGTCTTATTCCTTCGGGTTTACACTGGATATGGGGTGTGTGGATGGAGCTGTGGGTGGTGCAGCGCAAGCCACCCATGGTCCCTCTGTAGGCGCAGGAGTCCTGTGGCTGGCCACAGTGACAGGCAAATCCAAAACCGGATGCCGCCAACCAAGGAGTGAACCTGGTTTCGAAAGGAACTGCAACCCCCCCCCTTCGATAGTGAGGAAGTTCGGGCAGCAGAAACGTCTACTACAAACCGAGAAGTGAAGCATTCGTCTTGTGCAGACAAGCATATCTGCGAAACCACAAACGAGCATAGTGTAAGGGATTGTGCCATCCCTGGAACCGATTCCATCGCGTCGGGTAGCAGCTAAGTTAGATGCATCCCAGGTAAAAGCTGGCCTGCAGTTATCTTAAACAAGCCATGCGAACCGAATAGGAGGGGACGAATGTTCAATCGTGATATGGCCAAAATGTGATATGGAAATCTGTTGACACACTGGTCTACGTTCGGACGTTAGTGTAATAAGTGCCTAATAGGGTAAGCAGTTTGGTTTGGCAACAGAGGGCTAAGGGAAGAATCTATGCGACTGCTTGCTGTGGTTTCACAGCACTAAGGTTGACACCAAATAGGGAATTCCAACAAGGGACGGAAAACTAGAACGAAGCCTTGTATCGCTTAGGGGATCAAAGCTATTTCATAAATATTCTTCCTCGAGGTGAACACATGTGACGTTGCCGTTTTACCAACAAGGCATTCCAACAGCAGTAACTTCATTGTTCAGGCTACTAGCTGCACCACCCTTAGCTAGCAGGTACTGCCAGCAGCCACTTCATGGATAATGTAGATTCCTTTCAAGTATGGTAACCTCAACCAGATTGACAGTTAAGTAGTTTGAGCGAGACACACAACCAAACCGAACCCGATATACATCAAAAGGAACTTCGGTCATATCACACTTCCAAGGAGTGCGTCGAAAGTGGGGGACAATTCACAAGGTGGCAGGAATCCTAGCCAAATGAGACAGGATGTGAAATATAATTTTAAATGAAAAAAAAACAAGATAGCCATAGAGACTTTGCCGAGGGCTGGCGCAACATCAACCGCACCATTAACTAATATTGCAGGGCGCGATTCACAACAGGTGAGTAAACCAGAAGCTTGCCTGGTGACGAACGGCTTAAACTGGCGAACCCCTAAAGATTCCGTTGATACGTCTCTACAATACGTGTAGCCACATATATTTGTGAATACATCGATAAGTCTTTTATCAAGGATCCTCAGCAAATTTCTGATGCAAGAGAGAGCCCTGAGCTATCTACAAGTGACTGCAAAGCTACACAGCTGGATCTTGTAATTTAAGGTTGGTTTGCCGAACTACCTCGTGGTGCAAGCTGGGTGGTCCGGGTTTACCCCGTTCCAGCGAATTGTTCGACGGCAGTGTCCCACGACGTGGTAGATTATCGCCTAGCAAGCGTTCTTCTTATAAAAAGCCACACCTGCATGCTTAACAACACTGCGACGTGGCGGATGTGGCTCGCCACTAACGAAAGTCACTGCCCCGTGCTTCACCTCGGTAAGACATTGTACTCCAGCAAGTGTGCTGATATCATGGGTAGGATTTGGCCCGATCAAACAAAAGATGTATGAACTGAATATTTAGGCACAGGTTCTCAATCGACGAGATTCACTGAATTCGCCCCGCTGTCTTGCAGGCAGGCTATTTAGCTAAAGGCCCAGTGTGGTGTCCCCTAAGATAACTCCCTACTTCGGCTAGGGCAACCGGGTAGTATCACGCCCACAGACAAAACCATGGATCGTTCATCTGACATATCGCGCTCAGTTGCTTCCCTTCCGCTACTCGTGCACTTCCTTCACACCCTAGCTGTTCATCTCCTACAAAACACTGTTATCCGTTACCAGCTGATTCCGGTTTTCATGATTCTACTCACGATAGTTTCGTCGAGGCCCAAAGAGTGGCCCTACTTCGGTATCGGTTCTCGTTCCCTCTGGCATGCTTCACTGTGCGTACACTCATGCAGATCGGCCAGCAGGCTGGTCTTGCGCGCACATTGGAATCCCTGACCATCGGTGTTTGCTATCTTTTCGAAATGGGCTTGCAAAATTTCATTAGTGTGATTAAGTTGAGATCTCATACCGACTAAGAAGCCATGTTTCACTTACGTCTACCTAGTGACGTAGAGGTAGCTGCGGCAGGCTTGGCTGGGGATGGTGCAGCGCTAAGTAGCAAAGCCGATGCCGCACTGCTAGACTGGTTTCCGATTAACAGCTGACTGTGTACAATTCGGCTATTAATCGAGGATCATGCAGGATCAACAAATGCCGTGATGAGAGACGCAACCAGTTTGTGATCTTAGCTTACGCCCTAACTGACTGCAGTTGCGTCTTTGCCAAGGAGGACTTTGTCGTGTTCAAATATTTTGCCTTGATTTTTTCCTCGATTCGCTTATCCTACTCACATTACTATTTAGCACTCGTTGGCCTATCATGTGATCTTGCACTTGATTGGTTGCCATTGGAACCACTACAGATTTAATTGTACTGCGCGTGTGTGCAGACAGCTTTCTCCCTATATGGTTGGCGGCATCCGGTTTCGGATTTGCCTGTCACTGTGGCCAGCCACAGGACGCCTGCGCCTACAGAGGGATCATGGATGGCTTGCGCTGCACCACCCACAGCTCCAACCACACACCCCATATCCAGTGTAAACCCGAAGGAATAAGACTGGGAGGTATGCGGATGGGAACCACGTTTCATCAACGGAGCCGGCCCACACTCCTTCACAGGCAACACAAGCACATTGTATTTGGGAATCAAGCGCACACACAAGACGGTGGCTGGACCGTAGTCCGCTCTACACTGAGTGCATGGAACTGCTCTTTGAGCACAGCACGGCCACAAGGACCGTGCACCCCGTCCCCTCTAGCAACGACCAACTGCCTCCTGTAGGCATTATGGACGAGGTAGTGGATAATAGACAGGTAGGCACCTTGTCAACATGCACATCAAGCGCAACCACACCGGTGATATCAAGCAACAGCCAATCACTTGAGAGAAAGATAATAAAGAAAATAAATCGAGTAATGCATAAGGAAACGGTAACACAAACCTTAATTAATGAGCATATGAAATAAGTTGTTTACAAACGAATCCTAGATAAGTTCACGAGGTCAGAAAGTATACATTACGGAATGCCACGAACACAAAAATATTATGGAAATCGAATACAATTGGCTTAAGCGAGGTGTGCAAGTTAATAGAATAGAGTACAGGTAGACATTTATATGAGAAAGAAAAGCATTTAGGCAAAATTGAAAACCCACCACCTGAAATAAAAAGACTTAGCATGCGAGCACGCGGTTAGTAAATCGAAGGCAGCTTACCTACAAACGCTGCGCCGGTTCTGTCTACGATCTCTGCAGGACCCGTCGTCGCTTCGGTAGTAGTCCCGAGTGGCCTTGCTCATGGCTCACTAAGCCTGCCTGACTAAGGCACTCGCGACCGCATGTTCTACAGCACCATGCGCTTGATGTCGATGGAGAACAACCCATCGGTGCTTGCCGCTTCCGCACTTGCCGCTTCTTTTCTGCATGCACGAGGGCTTTCTCCTGCACCTCGGCAACTGCCTTCGTCATCAGATCGCGCCATGCACGCCGATCAACCGCCTTCGATTCCCATGATCTGGAATCAAAATTAGAACGTGTGAGGCCCACTTTACTCATGTCCTGGTAACGTAACTTTGGTTTCCGCACGTGCCGCTTCCCAATACTCAGCTGACCATATAATAGCTGCTTCGGCATCCGCGTCGAATCCATACGCCACACATGACCGAGCCACCTCAGGTGTCTCAATAAAAGTATGCCGTCCACTGCATACATCCCACTTCGGCGTAAAACTTCAGTGTCTGCAACACTGTCGCCTAAACCGATGCGCAAAATTCGTCGCAAACACTGCTGATGGAACCGCTCGAGATATCGCACATCCCACCGGTACATCGTCCACGTTTCACTGCCGTATAGAAGAACGGACAGCACCATGAATTTGTACACCATCAGCTTCGTGCCAACA